TTCACTTAAAACAACTACGATAATTGAATTTTGTTAAATGAGCAAAGCTGTTTTCATGGCACTTGTCAAAAACAAAACATATATAGCTCAAGGAGTCAATGTGTCCAAGATGAGGCAGTTTACAGAGCTGAACCAAGACTTTTGTAACATGTTCTCTTCTTGAGACATTTTTTAGATAGAAAAACAGAAAAGTGGTACTTTTGTTGTCCCATAGTGTGTCAAGGGTGCACCACCCATTTGGTTGTCTAGAGCTCATTCCAGAGAAGAGAAGCTGGGAGGAACATCGTTTGCCTCTTCCCATAACACTCTGCATGTCCTCTCAGTACACACTGTGTCCTCACTGCTTAGTATATAACAAGTACTCAATAGATGGTTACTTCATCATATTCACTGTCATGGAGATTGTTTGTAAATGCAAAGTGAGCTGACCTCATTCACCAAATGAACATGTATTGAACATAATGGAAATCAAAAGCCTTTTTTAAGCCTTGGTTGTTAAGGGATTAACAAGAGATATAGGAATCAATTGCTGGAATGCATAAACAAATCTGAAACTTGCTTATGTGAATTTCTGATGAAACTAAGACAAATCCCATGATTCAGAGTATTTTGGTGACTGTGACTTTTTGAAATATACAAACCCTCTCTACCTTTTAATTTTAATTATTTATTTAGAGGCAGGGTCTCACCATGTAGCCTTGGCTGGGCTGGAACTTACAATGTAGACCAGGTTGGCCTCAAACTCACTTGAAAGAGAATATGTTGAAAGACAGATAAAAATTAAGACCAAGATATCAGAGAATGGCAAAAATACATCATTCAAGGCTGGCAAGGTAGCTTAGTAGTTAATGGCACTTGCCACCAGGACTAATGAGCCAGGTTTGATGTCTAGGACCCACATGGCTGATGGAAGGGAAGGACAGCTTTCCCAAATAAGTGTATTTTTTAAAAGCACATCACCTTTATTTAACAAAGAAAAGTAGTGCAATCTTCTAATCCCAGCACTCAGGAGACTGAGGCAGGAGGATAAATTCAAGTTCCAGGCTAGTCAGGGATACATAGTGAGATCCTCTTTCAACAACAACAACAACAAAAAAAACCAGAAGCAAAACAAAGAGATGGTTTAGATTCTAAAATAAACACTTATGTGTCAGGGAGGGGAAGAAGCTGAATGTACAGCCCATAAAAGGAAAAATAGGTTATGCATCACCAAACTTAGAAATGTTTGGTCTACAAAAGTTCACATTTTTAAAACGATGAACTGATTTTTCAGTATTGTGGTGCAAACCTTTAATCCAGGCACTCAGGAGGCACAGGCAGGTAGATCTCTAAGTTCAAGATCAGCCTGGTTTGCAGAGCTGGTTCCAGGACATCTAGGGATACACAGAATAAAATATGTCTCAAAGAACCAGAGGGGGCTATAAAAAGTAAATAACGCAATTAAAACATAACAGACATTTCACTGAAGAAAATAAACAGAAGGCAAATAATGTGTGAAAAGACAGCTAACACAACTAGCCATTAGGAAAGTGAAAATTGAAAGTCACAATGAAATACCATATAACAGTCAGAATGGACTTTAGAAATGACAACATGAAATTCTGGTGATACGGAGAACTAGACATTCATATATTGCCTGTGAAAATGCAGAGGCTACTGTAATTCTGAAAGAGTTATTTAAAAGCTAAAAATCCAACTATCATAGCCATTGCACTTCTACATATTTATCCCAAAGAACTGAAAACTGTAGTCATTCGAAGACGGTAAATGAATGCTAGTAGCTTTGTTTGTAACTACTTAAAACTGTAAACTCAGGATGCCTTTCAGCAGGTGATGGCCATGCAGTGTAGAGAAGAAAAGACCAGTTGTCAAGGATTAGGAGCAGAGATGGGCTGAAGTGAAGTGCATGTGTTATAAAGGCATAATGTAAGAGAGGCTTTGGTAATCAAAGTGTTCTGCCTCTATACTCAGTGGCTGTCAGTGTCCTGCTGCAATGCTGACACTTTGCAAAGTGTTACTATTGGAGGATCCCAGAAAAGAACACCTAGGATTATCCTGGGATACTCTTAGAACTAAATGGGAATCTACAACTCTAAGTCAGAAATAATGTTAACATTTTGTAGAGCTGGTTACAGTGGCTGAGGCAGGAGGATCATTTAAATTCAGGAGTTCGAGGTCAGTCTGGAAAATGTAGTGATACCCACCTACCTCCCAAAACTAATTAATTAATAGATTCCATGCTAAGCACCAAGAGAAGAGGAGGTACTTTCCCTGTGCTTGGGCAAGAATAAATTATAGGATAGTTTCTACAACAATAGCGTCTTTTTATTGAACACTTACTCTGTGCCTTTCATTGTTCAAGCTCTGTTTAGGCATTCTCTACTTTAATCCTTTTAGCAGCCCTGAGAGATTTAGGGAGCTTAAGCAACCTTGTGCAATTAAGTGATAGAAGCAGGAGTTTGAACCTGGATGTGCTTCGCTTGAAGGACTAAGCTCTTCACCATTGCGATCAACAGCCACCCTGTAACATGCTGGAGGAAGGGGGCCTAAGGGAAAGCTACGATTTTAAGAGTTCTAACCTTTTGATCCTAAAAGAAGTCACTTGCTCCTTCTGCTTTTGAAGTTTTAGGAGTGGGTCTTTAAAATAAATCACCATTTGTTCATTGTCTTTCCACTCAACATCAGTTAAGTACCAAGAATCCAAAGATGAAGAAAAATACATTGCCTGCCAGAGAAGAACTCACATACTGGAGAGTGTGTCAGGCTGATTCCTGTCCAGTGATTCCTGTATAGTTACCTCTCAGCATCTGGGGACATAGGTTCCAAGACTCTTGTGTGTACCAAAATGCCTATAGAAATAGCTTAGTATTTACAGGTAACTTATATTGTATATTTTAATATACTATACAATATTTATACAACCTAATACAACATACACACGCACGCGCGCATATATGTGCACACCATGTGTGCCTGGTGCCCATGGAGATCAGAAGAGGATGTCAAATCTCCTGGAGCTGGGATAAAGATTTTTATAAGTCATCATGTGGATGCTGGGAACCAAACCTAGGTCCTCTGCAAGAGCAACAAGTGCTTTTAACCACTGAACCACCTCACCAGCCCCTTCTTGAAGTCTTGTACTGAAGACTGTGGTATTCTCTGAACAACAGACCCTGTTAACAAGAAAACTCGTTGTCACTCATAATAATGCATGTTCGGAAATCTGTCTGATGAAATCTCTGTCTTATAGTGATATAACCGATTTAATTTTAATTAGCATTAGCATAGATTAGCTTCTTCTATCCTTCTACTTTGAGACTAGCTTTATGTTTATATTTGAAGCCAGTTTCTGATAAGTACCACATATTGCTGCTTTAATATAACATGCTCTGCCTTTGGTCAAAGTGCTGGGACTATATGCATTTATTTGGTGATTAAGTTTGAATTCTTCATTTTGCTACTTACTTTCTATTTGTTCTACTTGTTTTTGTCTAATTTTTTCTACTATGTTCACTCCTTGAGGTTATCTTTACAATTCCTTATTAGAGTCATCCCTATTAACAAAGGACCAATAGCAGAGGACATAAAATTCTTATACATTAGTGAGCCTAATAACATAAGTTGAAGTACATTATTATGTATAACCATATAATGCTACATGTTATGCTTGGTGTGTTGAAATATATTTGCACAATGATTTACACCCTTTTTAGATGTTGCCTCAAGGTTTATAGCATACCTCTTTGCCTTGTCACAAACACTATTGTGCTGTTTCACACAAAGTATTGAAACCATGTCTCCACATTTCTCTTCCTGATCCTTACACTATTGTCATCATTCACTTGGTATATTTCATTGTAGGTTGTAAATTACATAATGGACTGTTATGGTTTTTGCTTAGTCAGTTACACATTTAAAGTAAATTTTATTGTACTTGTCTTTGACAATCTCATACACATATAAAAAGAACTCTACTGTAGCCCCCTCCCTGTCTAATCTGCATCCCATTCCTATTACCCACCCTCCTAGAAGTCCTTTCCCACACACATGCCTTGTTTGGGTTTTTTAATTAAGTTTTTCGTTTTGAGATGCACTGAGTTTAACCAACATCATCTGTCTGACCCTGAGTATAGAACTGTCCAGTGGAGCCAATCAATACAAAACTGAAGACAACGACAGGCCTTCCCCAACAACCCAATAGTTCAGCTGGGGAGGTTGCCTGACGAACTCTTCTTCAATCCATGATTGATTGCTGATGAGCCTGGTCTTATACATAGCTGCATTGCTAGCATTGCTAGTAGCCACAGCTTAGTACTATGACGTCATGACTGTACTGGTTGTGTCATGCCTAGAAGACCACATTTCAAAGCCCTTTTCCCTATCTTACTGTTTTTTAATGCTTTTATTAGGGGTGAAGAAACACACACATATAGCACCCACACAGAGTGAAAGGCTCTCCACCAAACAGAGAGGGAACTCAGGAAGCTAAAGTCCAGACATTCCATGAGGGCTTTTGTTGTTGTTGTTGTTTGTTTTGTTTGTTTGTTTACTTTTAGTTGTTGAATGGTCCTTTTTCTCTGACTAAGGTTTGGTCAGTTTGAAGAACACAAGGATGGCTGATTGGCCTGCACTGGTGTGTGAACATGTCTTAATCTGCCCTTGAACTTGTTGAGTCAGTCCATCATCGGGATCCTACTGGTGGGAGAAGACTGCAAGACCTTTGCTTTAAAATGCCCGTTTTTCTCTCAGGTCAGGAAGGTAAGGAAGGAGCCAACTGTTGCGGGATTCCTGCCTGGGTTCCATTGTCAGTTTAGCCCCCAAATAACACACAAGACACTATATTAATTATGAAGCTGCTAGCCATTTGCTTGGTTTCTTACTGGCTATCTCTGACTTAAGTATTTAACCCATAGTTGTTAATCTAAGTATTTCTCTTTCTGGTGAAAAGGGTCTGGACCTCTTACTCTGTCGGCCTACATCGTGTCTGCCTTTGTCTCTCTTTCCCAGAATCCTCCTCGACTCCTAGTCCCACCTATCTTGCTTTCCTATTGGCCAACAGTGCTTTATTCAAACCAATCAGACACATATTTAAAGAATCTCCCAACAGCTAACCATCTTGGAAGTTCACTATGTTTATTACCTAGTAATAGTCCCTTTCCCTATCTATCTTCCTATCAGGGAATCTGTCTAACTTCTAGTCCCTCATTGTTCCCTCTCAAAGGTCTTCCTGACTGCTGTTAGAGGTCTAGGGACACCAACTACTCTAGCTTCTTTCAACTATCAAAGGGGGACAAGCAGCAGTCAGAATGACTCAGAAAGGGATTGGTTTAAGGGGCCACAAGGAAACGTAACTGTTGGGTAGAGATTAAGAACACTATAGCCATTTCATGAGGATATATAATCTTGAAGGTGATATAAGTGAAGCAGCATCTGTAATATAAATAAAAGTGATACTGTTAGTACTGCTATGTAGCCATGCCACCCCGAACACACATGATCTCACCTGCTCTTACATTCCTTCCGCCCTCTCTTCTATAAAGATACCTGAGACTTGAGTAGGTTATAAAAATGTCCTGTTTAGGGCTGAACACCCAACTGTCACTTATTCTCGGCATCTAGAGCACTCATTGCAAAGAGAAGCTTCTCTGATTAATGCTGGGAGTGGCATTTGTTTATGGGTATAAACATAAATATTTAGAAGCATTTCAGTGGCATGACAATCTAGTTAAACAACAGTAGCAAATTCACCCCCTAAGACCCAAGGCCTTTTTATCCATGGGCCTTGACCAGGTTTACAGTACAGAGTATGAATTCTCTTTTGTAAAGTGAGACTCAGATGCAGAGAGTGGTTGCCTCAAAAACAGTCATGTCATTATAGTGCCAGCAGATACATCTCCTGTCAGGTTGGTATTGTAGATCTTTGGTTACCTTTATAAAAATTTTCAAAAGAAAATGTTTTTTACCTATATCCACATAGCTACTATTTCCATTACCCTTAGATTGTTTATATTAATTCAAACTTCCATACTTTTTTACGCATGTATTATAAACCCTCAAACACATATTCCCTGACATTGTCAGTTACATTTTTGGAGGGATGATGCTGGGGGCTGAATTTAAAGCCTTGGACATATTAAGCATGCACTTTGTCACTGAACTACACACCCTTGCCCTATTGTCTTTTTAAAGGTAGATAATAAAGAGGAAACATTTTACAGATTCATGCATTAACAACTTGTGTTCCTTTTGTCACTCCTAGCTTCTTTATGCCTAGAGGATAGGATTGTTATTATGAATCCTTTTAGTTTTTAATATCTGAAAAAAATCAATTGCATTTTCATTTTTAAAGATAATTTTAATTGGGTATAGAAAAAGGGGGAGTTTCATTTCTTTGGGGGTCTTATTGGTATTGTTAAGATCTAGACCCACTCTCCTTTCTTTAGCTTATAAAGTTTTCAAAAGAAATTCCCAGTTGCTGTTTCTTCTTCTGTGTAATGATATTTTTTTCTGGGTGTATTAAGCTATCTTTCTTATCATGAATTTGAATTAGTCTAAATATAGTATGCCTTGATATAGCTTCTCATGTTTCTTGCCCCTGGAATTTGTTGAACTTGTTGGATCTGTGTGAAAATTTTATTGAATTCAGAACATTTCTAGCCATTTTTTCTGCTATATATCTAATCTTTTTCCTTCTAATTGCACATATATTGTGTGACTAAAAGTTTTCTGCAGTTCACTGGTGCTTTTGTCTGTTTTCTTTTCCTTTGTCCTCCCTCCCTCCCTCCCTCCCTCCTTTCCCCCTTCCTTTTTCTTCTTTTTGGTCTTCTTTCACTGTTTCATATTGCATAGTTTTCAATTTCTGTGTTGAAAAGTTCACAGATTTTTCTTGTACAATGTCTACGTTTATTATGCAGTGAATTTCTCATCTCAGATATTATGACTACTATAACTATTTTGAGCAATCTTGTCTGCTAATTCCATATTTGGTGTCATTTTGATTCATTTTGTGTGTATGCGTTACACGTGTGTGGGGGGGATTGAACTCATATGCTAGTCAATTGTTGATTATTTTTGCAGTACAAGTCATATTTCCTGCCTCCTCTGTAAGTCTGGAAGGTTTTGTTAACATATCACGAATTACATGTTTTTATTTTGGTACTGATTATCTTTATATTCCTATAGATATTGTAGGCCTTGTTCCAGATTTCAGAAAAATTACTAAAAATTAGTCTGACACTCTCAAGTCTTGTTCTGCATTAATTTGGTGGCCTTAGAACAACATTATGTCTAGGAATGTTCCCTACAACTGAAGGAAAGTGCAGAATACTCTATCCTACCACATGAATTGTTAGTGGGAGACCATGAATTGTTAGCGTGAGTGCCAGCCATCATAGCCTCTCATACTCTCTGTTTTTCCCATTGTTCCTGAGTAGTTAGTTGCCTCACAGGTATCCATTGGTCCTCACTCTGGTGAAGAAGGGCCCTTTACAGATCTGTGGACCTTTTCCTGTACAGCTTTGTCCTCAAATTACTTTGCTCTGTAAACTCTATCTTCTCTCTTCGCTCCCTCCCAGCTTTGCTTCCTCAACTCACTGACATCACCAAACCATCCTGTGTTCTCCAGAAACTCTTCTGACCTGTGAGATGACATCACATCCTGATGTGTTCCCATCTCTTGGTATTACTTCCCTTTGTTACCTGATTTTCAATATTGAACGTGTGTGTGTGTGTGTGTGTGTGTGTGTGTGTGTGTGTGTGTGTATGTGTGTGTGTGTGTTGGTTTTTATATATTTCAGGTAAGATGGTAAATCTGGTCCCTACTTTCCCATCTTGGAAAAAACAGAATTCCTCATTACCTATCATTGAACTCAACTAATATTTTGGCCAACCTTACCTGTGATGGTTAAACTCTGTGCTTGATCCCTTCTGTTGTATAGTATCCTCCATCACATTCACTCAAAGAAGAAAATTCCATGGCCACACCCTCCACAAGATACTCCATCTGCAGAAAGCTACAACACCACTCATTTCACTAATTATATCCCAAGACTCTGGGTCATGGAGAACGTTTGCGCTATCAAGGATACACTTACCATTGTGTGGATGGTCTCCATATTAAATCTACTTCAATGTTCTTTCTCTTGTAGAATCCTATGAATTTCTTCTCCACATTTTCCTAACACTGTCTATCATTTTGACTACCATATGGCACAGAGACCTGATGACATGTTTCAGCCACTAAATGAGAGACAATTACAGAAATTCCTGTTAGCACACTAAACTCTACATCACTAAAAAAATGAACTCATATTAATGAATTTGGCCTAAACCTAAAATTCTGTTTTTGTCCTCCTTCCTCATTTAGCCCTTTATCATCTGTATTTCCAGTTTTTGACCTTATAAGTCAGCACAATCTTACTATTCTGTTTAGTTTCCCTAGACTGGCTTTGCAGTCACCCCCATGACATATTCTGAGACCTGAGTTTAGTTCTAGTTCAAGAGGCAATGAGAGGTAGTTAATATAGGACATGAGGACAACTGGCTTTTACCACTACACTAGCAGCTTTTAATGAGGTAATTACAGATATTTCATTAAGAAAGAAAAGGTTTTAATGCAGAAGGGAGGGTGGGTTTCTCCTGCTGAGTCTTTGTATTGACATGCTCTTAAATGTCTCCACACTAATTCTCCATGTCTCAGTGGTTCCCAGTCAGTGCCCTGACATTGACCTAAGACTCCTCTTAAGTCTATGCAGTCAGCTTCCCATGGAGAGTTGGATTTTTCAGCTCCATCAGCCTGTGGCTACAAGAGGTAGCATAGAAACTGCCTAATTGGAGGAACCTCTAGAGCTAAAAAACTTTAGCTTGTAATATGTCTTTTTCTATCTTTAAACCTTCAGCAAGAGGGCTGGGTATGTAGCTGAGTGGTAGAGTATTGGCATAGCATTCATGAAGGCCTAGTTTTTATCAACAGCACCACATACAAAACAAAACACCCAACAGGTTTAGAAGCTAAAACTTTGTTGGTGACCTGTGCATTTTCCAGTCCCTCCCTTATGGAGACCACCAAAGTCTTAACTCGGTAGGTTAGGTGATAATTTAGATAATTATTGACTCACTATTACATATGACTCTCCTTCTATTAAATGAAAGTACAAATGATATAGAAAGCAGCCAAATTATCCCATGGTCCAGTCTTACCTGGAACAAGAAGCCTGTATCCGATGCCAAGAACGTCTTCCCTACCCCTTGGAAATACCATCACTTTGTCACTGTGCAATATCCTTCGTAACCCTTGCTACAATCTTGCATACTGGTTCCTCTATTTATAAAGCAGAATTTTTGGATATGAGATCCTTGGCAAACATTAGGACACTGCTGTGCCAAGACAGGATTAGGGTCCTCTGAATCTTGGTCACACCAAATGCTCATAGAAGGGACAGAAGCAGGTTGTGGCTAAAATTACAGGGTCCGGTCCCACCTGACTCCCAACAACCAGCCCATCATGCCCACGTTTGGAAGAGCTAATGTTCCCTACCCTTCTAAAGGTCAGGTGACTGAGGACAACAGCCAGGGCTCCTCTGATTGTGATGTGCACGTCACGCTTCATGGTGGCAGCAGTATCCCCTGGGATTAAAAGGTTGCCACCTCTTTAAATCTGACCTTCCAGAGTTATTAGCAGGCTGTTCTTTGCTTTTTTTTTCCTTCTACCATCCTTCATTCAGAATGCAATTTGACCCTGAGAAATAGATCTGTGTTCAGGAGAATAATCTTCCCTAGCAAGAAGGGTTGTGTAGGAAGATCATCATTAGCAAGGCACATTCATCAAATACCTTCTCACCATCTGCTCCACCAGGACGCTGAGAAACAGAAGCAGGAGGCACGGCCCTTGGCTCAGGGGCATGTAACTTAACACAGACATGGGGGCTTGGACAGGTCTGCAAGGAACAGACATGTGGTGAAGAACAAGAAGCAGCTGACACATAGACTACAAACTATTGTGCTGACAGTGAGCCCTTTGTTTTGCCCCAATCCAGGTCCTCACTACCTCATCCTGGAGTTATGTGAACAGCCCCTCCACTGTGTGAGCCCTCCGTGGCTCTCTTCCTGAGCATGTTACTTTGCTCAGTGACTACACCTTGCTTCCCCAAGCCTTTCTCAGCCTAAGGTTAAAAATGAAACAAAAAACAGAGGCACATAATAAAATTTTAGTCTCATGATTTTCGGAAATAAGCAAAAGCTAGTCATAACACAGCAGCAAATATTTACTATTAACTTGTAGTATATTAATTCAAGCAGTACCCACCTCGTTTAACTTCTAAGTGGGACCTTATTTGTTCTGTCTAAAGACTATTGCGCATTAGGATTTCTGATGAGACCCCCATGTCTTCCTTTTATAGGCATTTTATCCTCTTTGGTTCACTACTCATTTCTAGGCTCATTTTTCAAAGTCCATGCCTTTGCTCATACCAGTTGTCCTCTGAAAACCACTCTCTGATTTCTCTCCTCATGTAACCAAACCCTCCCAATGGTATGAAGCATAGTATAAATACCTCACAGGACAGTTTGTGCACTGTCATTGAAAACATGGATTCCCAGGGCTTTCATCTCCCAATTCAGTGGTTCTGGGTGAGGGTCAGGAATTGTATTTTTATTTCCAGGTCAGAGGACAATGAGAGATGGTTAACTTAGTACATGTGGACAAAAATGACTTGTGCCACTAAGCTAATAACACTTATTGATGTAATGGCAGATAGTTCATCAAGAAAGGAACAGCTATAATACAGCAGGAAGGACAGGTTCCTCATTCTGAGACTACTTATAATCTAACAGCTCAATGAAACTAAAGAGAAAGAACTTAAAGAGAATAAATGTCTATATGATACCCAGGAAAATATAAACATAAGGCTGATGATGAAGACAATTTGCGATTTACAAACAGAATTCAATAAAGAGATAGAAACATTGAAGAGGACTCGAGCTGAAAAGAAGACAGAATTGAAAAACCCATTAGTCCAACTAGAAAACGCAAGGGAATGTCTTACAAGTGAAGAGAATCAAGCAGAAGATAGAATCCCACGTTTCAAAGATGAAATAGAGAATCTAGACCAAACATGCAAGAAACACGAACAATTTTTTTAAAAACACAGAAAGCAACATTGAGGAAATGTGAGACACTGTGAATAAAACAACCTTCAAACCGTAGGCATAGATGAGGGAGCAAAATCTGAAGTCAACGGCATAGACCAGAGCATCAACAAGATCATAGAAGAAAATGTCCCCAAACTAAGGAAAGATATACCCATAGAGAAACAAGCAGCACCTCAAAAATTAAATAGTCAAGACCAGAAAAGAAAATCTCCATTGCATATTAGAGTTAAAACACTAAGTGTACATAATGAAGAAAGTACTGAAAACTCTAGAGAAAAAGCAGAAGTTGCATATAAAAGAAAACCCAGCAGAATAACAGCTGATTTCCCAATGAAAACTATGAAAGCTACTAGAAGAGTTGGGAGCAATTAATTACCAGTCTTAAAAGACTATGATGGTCAACCTAGACTAATATACTCAGAAAAACTATTTGCCATTATTGAAGAAGAAAGAAAAGTTTTCTACAATATAAATAACCTTAAAAATTATACCAAACAAACCAAACATAAAGAAAAGACAGGAAGCAGTATTTTTGGCTGAACATAAGAATGAGCATAGCCAAGAGATTGGAAAGAAATATGAAGTCATAATTACTAGAACACAAAATGCCACTGAGAACACAAATGACAACACCAAAATTCAACAACCACATTGATCACAATTAATCCACACATATCAATAACTCTAGATAATAATGGTCTCAATTCTGTCATCAAAAGACACAGGCTGTCTGAACAGATCAAGAAGCAACAATCCATCTATCTGTTGTCTACAAGGAACACATCTTAGCTTTAAATATAGGCAAAACAATCCTGAGCAAAATAAAAATTAACAACATTGAAGGAATTACCACTCCAGATCTCAAGATACATGACAGAGCTCCGGCAATAAAAGCAATGTGGTAACTGCACAAGAACAGACACTCAGATCAATAGAACAAAACTGAAGTCCCAAATGAGTGCATGCAACCCCAGCCAATTCATATTTGACAAAGATGCTAATGACATACACTGGAGAGAAAAAAAAATGTCCTCAACAAATGGCGCTGGGAAAACTGGATTCCCACGCATAGAAGAATGCAATTAAAACCATCCATAACTTTGAACAAACAAAGACTAACTCCAAATGGATCAAGGACCTAAATGGGAAACTTGAAGCACTGAAACTGCTAGAAGAACATATAGGCAGTACCCTACAGGACACACGTGTAGTCAAGAACTTTCTGAAGAGGGATCCGTTTGTCTAAGAAGTAAGGCCATCAACTGACAAGTAGAATTTCATAAAACTAAAAATTTTGCACAGCAAGAAACAAACAGTCCAGTAAATAAAAGTCCATAGAATTAGAGAGAATCTTTGTCAACTATAAATCTGGCAGAAGGTTAATATTCAGAATATAAAAGAACTAAAAAAGAACAGACCTACCCAAAAATGGGGCTGGGGCCTGAAGACACAGTTCTCAAGAGGGAAAAATGGGGGGGGGCTAACTCTCTACAGCAAAAGGCCATCTAACAAAAATCCTAACACTGGGCATACAAAAGCCTACTTTTGAATTGTTGGTTGTGGTCACCCAAGAGACTCCTAAAATATTACAGGCTACTGCTATTGTTTTTGGTTGCCCTTCAAGTGTGTTACGTCCCTATTGCTAAAGACACTATGCACTTCAGACACAGGGCACAGGGCCCCTCAGCTGGAACTGACTTAAATGTCTCCTCCCTGAAAACTAGTTTTCATGTTACCAGAAGGTACCATGAAAGATTCCAAAGGAGGGAAGCAACCAACAGTCCTACCCAACTATGATACCTATGAAGTACAACAGTCAGCATGTCAGGACAACCCTAAGGGCACAAGGATGCCGCAGTTGGTGGTAATCAACAGTTCTCTTATTGGATTGAAGAAACACTCAACAGAAGGGAATTCATGCCTGGTACTGGAAACCTTGCCAACTGCCCAGGGAAAGTTAAGTCATGGATTTTGGAAGAGAACCTACACCCACCATTTTATTAGAACAGTAATCCCTAACTACATTCTAAATATTTGTCCTCATACTCACAGCTAAGTGCAGTCCTCAGCCCTCAT